AAAGAAGATAGTAAACATAATTGCTCTCTTCTATAAAGACTTTTCCTGCAGTATAACAAATTACAATACATCTTTCCCAGTAAAGACAGGTGTATGACAGGGATGTTTCATGTCATCTCTTCTCTTCAACCTTGTGATTGATTGGATACTAAAAAACACAGTAGACAAGACACTGAAAGGCATATGATGGACTCCATTCACCATGCTTGAGGACCTTGATTTTGCAGATGATATAGCACTCCTATCACATAAGCATGAACATATACAAGAGAAAAGTAACAGACTACACAGCACAGCAGAAATGGTGGGACTTAAAATAAATACAAAGAAAACTAAGATCATGACAAACAGTCCAAACCAAAAACCAATGACCATAAGTAACCAATCACTTGAAAATGTAGAACATTTCACATATCTTGGCAGTGTGTGTCCCTACTGGGAAGGACAGAGGAAGACATACAGTCACGCCTGAACAAAGCTAGAGCTGATGTTGGAAGGAGGAGGCAAATCTGGAAATCCAACAGTTACTGCAGAGGAACAAAACTCCGACTCTACAAGAGCATCATTTTGCCAGTCCTTCTTTATGGAGCAGAATGCTGGAGAATGACCAAAGAGGATGTACCCAAGCTGTCCACCTTCCACCACAGATGTCTACGAAGAATTATCAAAATTTTCTTTCCAGATACAATCTCAAACACTAAACTACCTCAAGTTCTAAACCAAGAAACTCTAGACAGTATAATAACCAAGAGAAGATGGAAATGGCTTGGCCACGTTATGAGAATGAATCCTGACATACCTGCTAAACAGCTCTCACATAGATACCAGAGGGAAAGACAAAAAAGGGGCTCCAAAAAACAACATGGAGACGAACGATGGAAAGTGACCTGAGTGTGGCATCTTTGACATGGAAAACTGCACTGAAGATTGTACAGGACAGGAAAGCATGGAAAGTCCTCTCTAAAGCCTCATGTGCCACTAGGAATAACGAGAACTGATGATATGATGACTCATGTGGTAAAATATATCGTTTCATGGGAATTAGTCCATGAGTTAAGCATCAACATATGGATTTCTATTTCTACCCTATATCCTTATAACTTCCAAGCTCACAGTGTGTATAAAAAAATTATATGCTTATATCCTGTGCCCATCTTCGTGTTGGTCGCCCCTGCTCATCCTTCCTGGATCATTGACTTCTGCTATTATTTGTTTCCAGTCCGATATGGCGTATGAAATGACCAAAATATTGCAGCTTCCGGGACATAATGCAGCTTATTGGTCACTCTTCCTTGAAGTTTAGGTCCTTTAAAATGTCAGTGTTTCTTTTCTTTGTGCCCTCGAGCTATTTCTTTTTTGTAGGGCTTATAGACGGAAAGAGAAGTTTAGGGAGATATAGGAGAAAATGAGGAGCTGTTAAAGATCAGAAAGGATAATAGTGAGAAGATAATTTAGAGTGAGTAGGTATGTTGTTGCACTGAGCAGTTAAGGACTCTCACCCTTAGATAAATTTACAAGAGATAGATAAGAGAAGTGGTGAGGTTCTTTGAACAGATGCCGCAGGAATGTCTGCGACCCTTGAAGTTCTGTTGCACTAATGCAATTCTGACCCCAACTCTATACAATGGCTAAAATAAGTTACCAAAACTAATTCAAAAGAATAACACACTAAATAATCAATAGAGATTCCACCAACTAGAGTCATGATTACACAAAATAAAAGGTTTATTAAAATCAAAAGTTTGTTTCTGAAAGATAGGATCAGTAGATAACCCTAATAAAAGATGAATTCGCAAAGCAAACAAATAGTAATATATTAATAATAAGAAGTAAACAAGCCAGTCTTATTAGCCAGGCTAAAATAACAAACACCTAGTTGTTCGACATCTCCTGTGAATGGTATCGTAGAAATGTTTTCTGTTTTACAATTATCATCACAAATTATAATACATAATAGGTAATCAAATGCATTTATCATACACAGTTCTTCAGCTCATAAACAGGCTGTTGCCAGAACCCCTGTAACTGAAAACTTATTTCAGGATATATTTCCCTGCCTCAAAGATGTTAGCATTGATTGGTACCGAGTTTATTTAGACATAAGGCGCCCAGTATTCAACTGTTAGTTGTGGCTTTAGTTACATATAATCTTTAGGCTCATTCTGACTCATAGCCCTTAAAGGTTAAATGGTAAATTTCTGGGAAGTACAGGCGGTCAGTGGGAGGCTGACCACTTCATCCCCCAAGAACTAGCTGGTCTATAAAATGTAGTTCTAGTCCTATATTCACCACACACGTGAAGGTATGGAAGAAGTGTTCTTTACTTCTCTTTAAACTAACTATTGCAAATATGTTCCATTTCCCTTGCACTCTTATTTGCTGTTCATTGTACTAGACTTTTTAATTATGTATGCCGTTATTCATCTACTGTTCACCATATGCCTTAGTATGGATACCTAAACAGATACCCTATTTAGTGATTTCAACACACAGCTAAACACAGTACAGTTAATCTTCTCGGCTTTTCCCTCTTTCTTCTACTGACCCATTTCCAGGACAGGAAAAGATTTCTGCGTAATTGGTTTCTGGCTGTGCTGCCCTGACCAAACCAAGAGTGGCTTCAAGCAGCGTCTCCGCCTGTGAGCTGTTAGCAGTTGCATGTATTTGGAACCTACTAATACATAGTCTCCAGTGGACCAAGAGGTGAGGAAAAGACGCTGGCGTTCGATAGGACACACACTGAGAAAACAAGAGAAAAGCATAACAGAATCTCTTTGCATTGGAACCCACAGGGGCATAGGAATAAAGGAAGGCCAAAAGACACACGGAGAAGAGAGCTGGAGAATGAAGTTAGAAAGATGGGGAGGACACTGGGAGAGCTCCTTGCAATGGCGGAGGATAGAACGACTTGGCGTGAGTTGGTTGAGGGCCTATGCTCCATTGGGGGATAGAAAGGCAGAAGAAGAGAAATGCATAGCATCATTTAACTCTAATTCGCACATCTCGGATATTCCACACCGTTTTTCAGTAACACTAGGCCCTGGCTTAAACATCGTTATCATCATCGTCATTTTTTTCTGTGCCGGCAATCCCATAGTTACTATATCTTCCACTAGAAGCATATATTCTACATTACAAACATAACAAACACAAAACATATCAGTATAATTATAATTATTATTCTAACGCGAGTGTCCCTAGCTTTTCCCTCTGTGATCCAAACAATGCAGACCAGTCAGATACTTGAAAAGGTCTTCCATGGGTTACTGCCTAGTTCGTACACGCATAGCGCACTACTTGCTTTCCACCAGTGACATCTGCTACTGGACCTCTTGGCCTGATTACCACAGGGTTTTCTTGGACTTCCTATCCCGCCCGACTGTCTCCTGTTATTTTGGTTGTCCTCCAGTGTTTCGAGCTTATGCCTACATGCAGCAGTCTTTATAAATACATGTGGCTACTCATACATTACATCAAAACACTTGATTCTATCATCATGGCATCTGCTACGTCTCGGTTTCCCGTTAGACGATTCGCAAGATCCAGTTAATGCATATCACAGCAATCATCATCATGTGTTCTTTCCTGCCTGCCCCTACGCTATCTTTTCAATACTTCTACCACGGCTAACCACACAGGACGCAAATGTAACATACATGTGCTAAACAGATTCTGTCCTTTCATGATTTTGGACAATCGTTTCTAATCTCAAAGTTACGCTATGGCATGGGCGCTTGTAACTTGTTAGCTTACATGTGCAGAACAGATTCTGTTGTTTCACGACCCAAAGTTATGTTTCGACATATGCGCCTGTAACTTCCCACCGGTGTATTTTCGTTGTTACTTTTTTAGTCGACTTTACGGTATGGGCACCTGTCGACTCTCTAAGCACGATCTGTCTCTCTCAGTCCCTTCTTTGACATATTTACTTTTCCTAAGTAACACTCACCTTGGCCGATTGTCCGAATTCTTCACGCTGACTCAGAGTTCATCGTCTCTTTAATATATGCAAACAAGTCCCTGTTCACCATCCGGGTTGCTGTCCTTAAATAACCTATTTGTTTTCTGCTTCCGGTTCCCCTGTCTCCAAATTTCCATTGTTCCTTGTAAGCCTTTTTAAGTCAATACCCTCGTCATTTCTCTAGGCTTCGCCATCCACTCTTGATGTTGCGGTTTTTCCAGAGCATTGTATGTGTATGCTGCTCTAGCAGTTTCAGTTTCTTGGGTTTTTCCATAGCTTGATAAATTATGCAAATTATCAACTACAGTTTTTAGTTCAATTGTCCTTTGGAAGCCATCCTACTAGCATATATGTCTTTCTGTCTGTCTAGGCCATTGTTGTGTGTGATTTTAACCTTTGTTTCTTCCTTCTCCAATTTATGGTTATATTGGACTACAGGGGCCCTGTTCTCCTAGCTTTGTCCTGCATCTACTTCTTTGTTGACTCTTGAGTCAATGCCACAAGGGTTGTTATATTATGTAGCGACCTTCTTATTCTCAAGCGACTCTATACCTCTTTATTCCTCTGTTGTGTTTCTCTCCTATTTTCATTTTGTAGTATTCGTGACTGTAAGGTAAACAACAATAATCTTTACTACGTGCATTTTATAGAGATAATCCGAGATCCTCAAATCGTAAATATCTAACAGGCATATCTTGTTGTGTCTCCAGAATTAATGGTTCTGTCTCGAGAATCATCGAGAGCAGCAGCATAGGCTGTAAAAGTGCTAATATCATCTTCTCAAATTTAGCTCTTTAATGTTCTGGATCTAACGCATTGATAATAATAACAGGTTCTATAGTCAAAAACGACTGAACACTACTAGATGGTGACCTTTGTAGCAATAACTGTTTTTTTTTTTTTTTTTTCTTGCTGAAGAGTGACAATGCCTCTTTTTTCAATATACACGATCATTGGGATGGATACAACGACAATTTACGAAACACTTGAAAAAGTAATTTTAAAATGGGTCAGACATAACAACAAAACTTGTTCTTACAGTCGTCACCAGTTGAAGTCTCCAGACCTGCATTAGAGACATAAATCAACACAAATGAGTCCATTGCTGCGTACACATGCAACAACGCGGTGCATTACATAAAATGTGATATGATTATCGAAATAAAAGTATCGGCTGTATGCATCATTTCAGAACTCAGTCTTGCTTGATGCTCACACAGGTTTCACAAAGCCGTATGTTTCCGTCCATTAGATACAGAGTGTGTTGTGTTCTTTTGTCTTTTCTGGGTTTCTGTTTAAAGGGTGGTAGGCTCAGAGTTTTGTGTATATGTGTGTGTGCGTGTGTGTGTGTGTGTGTTTAAAAATTGACTGTGATATGTGTGCTTTTATTCCTATTACATCAGATTTCAACTATCCGTTAGTTAACTGATTTCAAGATTTGCTTTTTATGTAGCACTACGTCTCCTGTCTCCCACCCCCACCCTAATCAAATGAGGTCCTGGGGGGGGGGGGGGGAGGGAGGGAACCCAGGTTATTAAGATGTCTAAAAAGAGCTGCATGAGCAAGCAGAAGAGATAGCATCAGGAATGAGGTCATAACAGAACATGTCGACATTTTCTTTTATGACCTCATTTCAGTTGTGCGATAGCATTCAAAATGCTAGCAGTAGTGTGCATATTAGAGGCCTGTATGAGGAGTTAAAGAAGGCCATTGGTCCAGCTATTTAAAAAATAAATAATTGCCCCGCCAGAGTTTGAATAGGGAGGTCATTAATGACAAGAGGTATCAGGGTAGATGCGTGGAACTGTTGTTTTTCTTTGGTAAGAGTAAAACGGCGCTGTTATTTTGCACTCAGCATTCCTCCTTGTTTATCTTGTTTGGTTCAATGTACCTTTGTGATACAATTTCAGAAGACACGAACGAAACTTCCCGATAAGAAGTACTTCACAACGGGAGCATGCACAACAGGAGCCTACCGATCAGCAGTTGGTGGTCCCATTTTCAACAATTGTTTCGGCCTATCCTGCTAGACAAATTTGGGGGTGGGAGGGGGGGGGGCAGCCGACCGTTGTCATGACTCTCAGCCTCAAACTTCTCCTGGGCGCTTTATTGTTTGTCGGCCATTCGGCCAAAACTTTATGGTGATGGCAATAGGTACTGAGTTTTGGTATTATCGTCGCTGCGGTAGCAAATTAAGCGCCTACATCACTACCAGAGTGACGATTTGACGCTTGGTTCATCTGGCAGACATTTTTTTGGACAGTCTTTGGCAGTTGGCAGTAGCAAGTGCACACGTTAATCAAACAACTTTAGTTTTAGGGTTTTTATAGTTTTTCTTAGCTAGAGGCTCGGATCAGTCTACCGATGCCTATCTACCCCTCCTCCCTCCCATTTTTTCCACGTCGTAACGTTGTGTCTATAGCCAGCTCGTAGCTGTTTCAGCAGCTTCGTCTAGTTGCATCAGTTCCCATGTGTAAGCTTGTTTCATCGCCAGCCCAGCTGTTTCAGTACATTGTATGTGAAGGTGGAGATTAGCCCTCGACGGCAAAGAGTTTTACTGCTTACCCCTTTTTGATCTTCAGACTGGCCACCAGATCGTTGTATTTCTTGAGCTTGTACATGTAATTTCCTTCTCAAAACCAGACAGGTTAACCACGAGTTGCCAGTCGCTAGCAAAGTCGAGCATGGATGGTGCATATGCGACTTTGTTGAATGAACTGTTAGAAATATGCCCTGCGTTGAGGAAACACATGAGAGGGACGTCTGGACTAGCTCTCGCGTTGGCCCTTTCCTGGCTGTGTCCACAGTGTCGGCCAACTCTTTCAGGGCCATACTATCGCGTCATGTGTATCGTCCCTGTCCTACAGCTTTTCTGCTACTCAGTCTTCTCAGGAATTGGTTTTTGAATGCATTAAACCTTCTTTCTATATCTGAAGTGGTACTTTAACATTAACTGGCATATATTCATCTTCTTCTTCTGCTTAACGTCCGTGCAGTGCGGCGTTGGGAGTCATGTTTATTCATATTCTGTCTCAGGAACTTTAAGTCAACTCTGACGCAGTTTATCTTACATGCCATGAGGCCAAACTGTCTAGATTTTAATGCTGTGACAAATATATCATAGATCTCTAAGGGGTGATATATGATATATCTGTCACAGCATTAAAATCTTGCTCTGGCGATCATACTATGCGCCTCGCTTTGGAAAATCGCCTCATCCGCAGCCTAGGCGTTCTTAGTCCAAGTGGTATCAATATCCAGAATACCTTCATCTAAATAATTCTACTGTTATCACATTTTAAATTTTAATATTTTTTTTAATTTAATATTATTACTTTATTCTATTTCTTATCAGTATCATTTATTATCACGAACATTTGTATTTCTTTTATTCCCAGTAATATATTATAAATTAACAATACTACTGTTCATTTTTTGTGACTATACTTTTTAGCCATCGTTTATTTAATTTAATTTTATTTATTCCACATCAAATTTTTTTAAACGTTGCTCACGTCACCCCTTAGAGATTACATACTATCTTCTCCTCGTTGTTACGTTTGTGTAGTTCACTTATGTTTGAAAAAGGCTGCACGGTCGAAACGTTACGTTGTGTTGTTTTGTGCACGTTTTTGTGCTTTCCCATTTTGTTGAGCTTTTTAGCAAAAATTGTTCTGGAATTCTTTGAACGGAACGTCGTGGGGGCCGGTCCTATGTAGGCTGGTCCGGGTATCTAGTGGGAAAGAAGTCTTATCCCTAAAAGTCCATCGTGTCTGAATTGTCTGCCAGTGTCTCTCTGCCATTTGCCAACAAAGTCGAACAAGTGTCCGATAAACCAACCGTAAGCTTGCTACTTGGTCGTCCATGTATGCTGACTGGTCTAATATGCTACCGCAGCGACTATAAATAAATTACAGTGCCCGTTGCATAGTCCCCAATTTCGTCTTGTCCCTGTCCGAGAACATCCGGTCAAACGTGCACCAGGAGCAGATCAAGCCTGAGCTTCATGAACTCAGGTGGGCCCATCCTCTGAAATTGTCTATGAGCTCGTGTGCAGAAACATTTGTGGACGAGGGATCACTTCTACTGATGATTGGTAGACTCCTGCTATACATGATCCCCTGTGTGGAGTTTCTTCTTATTGTTATATAGTAGAATAAAGAAACGCTGCTAACATGGTGGGTTTTTTTCAGGGGTGATTAAGTAAATTGCTAGGAGTGGCTTATACCTTTTAGTCTCAAGTGGGAATTTGCATAGAATAATATGAAAATTGGTCAGGGTGGCCAAGGTGACTTGCTAAATGCTATTATATGAGTATTCAGTGGTGGTCAGGTAGGGGTGTGATCATGTATAGTTTCTACAGGATAATACAAAAATTGGCCAGGGACATCAATGTCGGGGTTCAAGTTCTTGTAATGTGAAGCTAGTTGTCAGTAGTGATCGAGGTGGGGGTCAATGGGACATTTATCTGAAAAAAAAAAAAAAAAAAAAAAAAAACCCTATGCAGTGAGACTTCATCTCCTTCAACATCCATATCAGATACATATTTGTTAGGACTTTTAAAAAATCAGTCACTAGCGCCCTGACTGAAAGACAATAGACACTATCTTGATTACATTGTTACCTTGACGTAATATAAAGAAAAAAAATGGCTCAATTAAAACATGACCGTCGGAAACATTTAGCTGAAGACCCAGTAGCTATCATAAAGATAAGACAGGACTTACAAAAACCTGCCCTGGACAATATCAGAAATATCAGGCTCATGAGCAACACGAAGGGACACACAGAAAACATTAATTGAGCTGGACCTTGTGGACAAAGTGAAAAGACAAATCTTTCTCGACAGACGGGGTTGGTTGTTAGTTACGCATGAATAAACTGACTAGTATAGAATGTTATAGTGATTAGTATGCTGCTCGGATTAGTACAAAAAAATTAAGTGACTTGATAGCCATGTATCTTTAAGTGGGCTTGTGTTTGTGTGTGCGTTTGGGTGTGTGTGTGGTTGGCATTAACCGTTAACCTGTAAAGAGTGTTCTTTATACCGAGCTAGACAGATTTTTAATCACAAGACCTTCCTTCGTTAATAGTTACACCATCAGTGATAAAAGTTTCAAGTCAAAGAACACTGACACATACATAATGGAAAAAAAAAAAAAAGTCTAAAAGCTAGACTTTTGTAGCAATGACAATTTTTGTTTGCTCGCTAAAGTGGGACCCTGCCTCTTTCTCTGTATAAACGACAAATGGTACGGATACAATGAATATATACAAAACACTTGAAAACGTTATCTTAAAAGAGGGCAGACACAACAAAAACGTATTCTTACCGTCATCAATAGTTGTAGTTTCCAGACCTGTATTAGAGATAAAAATTGCCAAAAATGAATCCCTTGTTGCTTACACGTGCAACAACGCACTGCAATACATAAATTGTGAAATGATTAGATTAGTCATTTAATAGGTAAAGAAAAGTATGGACTGTATGCTTCATTTCATACTTAAGTCTTAAATAATGTTCCCACAGGTTTCACAATGCCGTATGTTTACCTCCATTATAAACATAGTGTGGGTGTGATCTTTCGTCTTTTTGGGTTGCCCTTTAAAATGTTGTGTGTGAGTTTGTATGTGTGTGTGTGTGTGTGTGTGTGTGTGTGTGTGTGTGCCTGACTGCGATATATGTGCTTTTCTTCCTAACACATCAGATTTCAGCAATCCGACAGATAATTGCTTTTTAAGATATGCCTATTATGTAGCAGTTAATCTTCTTCCTCCCATCGCCCACCCTAATGAAATGAAGCTCTCAGAAAAAAGAACCAAGCAAATGAGTTAGCAGAAAAATAAACATCAGGAATGAGGTCAAAAAAGAAAACGTCGACACAAAACCAACTCAAAATTACATTTAAGCAGCGTTCAAAAAGCAAAGCACAACATCATTTTTCCTATCCAATAATTAGGATTCAAACGTAAAAATATGAACCCCTTAATAATAGCATGTGCACATTTTTGTGTACCGTATAACAGTAGCTGGTACTGTCTAGTTTTTAGTGATTAGTGATTAGTGATTAGAAAGGGTTATCATTACATCACTCCGGACAGATCCATACTGCTGCTATCTGTCTTCTGTTAACACCGAAAGTTGGGCGCTGTACACCAAACCTGACGTCCCACTTTGTGCCATCAATTTCTGGACGAGGAGCGCAATTGGCAGGATCTAGTTTTATCCTAGCAAGAGAATAAAAGAAACTAAACGTTTCAGGAAGTAGTCTGCGAAACCGACAACAGAAGGAAATACCGATAAGGCGTGCACTGCCACAAAAAACTGTAAACTGCCTCAAGAAATCAACGAGCTGGGAACTGAACTCAGAGAATTTGAGAATATGAAAGTCAACAGAGCTGAAGCTACCGTTGACAGAATTGAAAAGCTAGGCCTAATCTCACAACATTTATTCTTACCGTCATCAATAGTTGAAGTCTCCAGACCTGCATTTGAGATAAAAGTCAACACAAATGAATTCCTTCTTGCTTACACGTGCAACAACGCAGTGCATCACATAACATGTGATATGATTATTGATTTACTAGGTAAAAAAAAAGTGTTGTCTGTAGGCTTCAATTCAGACATCAGTCTTACATAGTGTTCACACAGGTTTCACAAAGTATTATGTTTGCCTCTATTAACTCCAGAGTGTGGATGTGATCTTTCATCTTTTGAGATTGCCCTTAGAAGTGTGGTTATCTCGGGGTTTTGTGTGCATTTGTTTACAACTTGATTGCGATACATTTGCTTTTGTTCTTAACAGATCGGATTTCAGCTATCCGTTCGTTAATTCCTTTTTAAGATATGCTTATTATATAACAGTGTGTCTCCTTCCTCCCATCCCTCAACCTAACCCAAGGAGGTAGTGGAACAAACAGTCTAAATGAGGTGCCAAGGGCTGCATGAGTTACAAGATGAGACAACATCAGGAATGATATAAAAAAAGAAACATGATAGGCTCCCCAAGAGGAAAGACCGGACAGCGGGCTCCAGCGTGATTACGTGCCTCCCTTTTGAGATGGTCTTTGGTCCGATATGAATTAATGACGGTATAAGTAGCCGGAACTATCTGTTCTGTCTTCTGTTAACATCGAATGTTGGGAAGAGGAGGGGGGGTGTACTAAACCTGATGTCCAACATTGTGCCAACAACTCGGGGGAGGGGCGCGGGAGCTCGCATTTGGCAGGATCTATATTTATCCTAGGAAGAGGAAATGCAACCTTTTTTTTTGAAACTACAATTATGTCCGCCATTTCTTGCTGCTGTGTTTCATGTTTAGCGATCCATAAAATATCGTCAGCAGATCGCAAGTTGTTAGGAATCTGCAAACCAACCAACATCCCTGGAATAATATAGTAGTATGTAAGGACGTAATCCACAGCTACATGTTTGGTTTTTTTTCTTCTTCTTCTTCTTCTTCTTCTTCTTCTTCTTCTTCTTTCTTCTTCTTCTTTAGCCAAGGCTTAAGCGCCGCCAGTAGTGTTTACGTAAGCATTTACTCAGTGCAACACTCTTTTTTTGTGACGTAGTTTGCGCCTGCCACCATTATAGTGGACACGAGTGACCAGTCACCTGGTGAACGATTGGTTGCGCTGTGTGATGGCCAGCTGTGGGTTAGGATATAGTTGAGCTAATTTACAAACGAGGAGTATTCACCGGACCTGCTGAAGATATTAGGTAAAAATATACTTAATGAAGTAAATTGCTAAAAAAAGTACAAAAAAACATGTTGTATATGATACTAGACTTATATAGTCAAAAATGAAATAGATAGAGCAAGGGGTACTGATGTGCTCGATTGAAAGTGGTAGGTTATAATATTGGTTATACAGTAACATATAAAAATGATAAAATAGAAGAACATGATTATAGACTTATATAGAAGAATAAAGAAAGCTATAGAGATATGTATAGCTGAGGGTGATAAAAAGGTATGGTTGAGGAGGATAGAAAGTATATATGATATATAAAATTCTTTAAGGTGATAACATGAAGTTTATGAGACTAGGCCTAAATAAGTTATATAGTAGAATAAAGAAAGCAATAAGTGCCTTAGAAGCTTTTAATAGGGTGTATTTTTTCAGGGGTGTCAAAGTGAATTGCTAGGAGTGGTTAGTAATTGTCAGTGATGTAGTCAAGTGTGAATTTACATAGAATAATATGAAAATTTGTCAGGATTGTATTTTCTGAGTGGACAGTGGTGGTTAGGTAGTTGTGTTGTCGAGTATAGTTTCTACAGGAAAGTACGACAATTGTTCAGGGACATCAATGTCGGGGTTCAAGTCCTGTAATGTGAAGATCCTAGATAGTCAGCAGTGATCAAGGTGGGGGTCAGTGTGACACTTTTATGAAATTACAAAACCTCACTGCAAAGAGACTTTCTCTCCTTAAACATAAATATCAGTTACACATTTTTTTTTAAGGAATTTTTTTAATCGGTCACTAAATCCCTGACCGGGAGACAAACCTGTGTGTTTGACAATAAACACTATCTTGCATATATTGTTACTTTGAAATAATATAAAGGAAAAAAAAATGGCTCGTTTAACACATGACCGTAGGACACCATTAGCTGAAAGCTCAGTCGCAAGCAAAAAAGATAAGACAGAACTTATAAAAACATTCGCTCGATAATGACTTTATTTTAAACAAACCAGCAATATCAGGCTCATGAGCAAAATGACGTGACACGCAGCAAACAGACCAACTAAGCTGGACGTGGACATAGTGAAAAGATATGACATTTTCCCCGACAGACGGAGTTAGGTGATAGTTGAAGTCACACGCATGAATGAACTGCCTTTGCATTAAAATAGAGCGCTGTTATCAGGATTAGTCAAGAATGCTGCTAGGATTATTATTCGTAATTAGGTGACTTAATAAATAAATATCTATCAGTGGGCTTGTGTGTGTCTGTGTTTTTGTGTGAAAGACTGCGAGAGTGTATGTGTTGTAGGCATTATTTGTTAACTGTTAAAAGTGTTATTTGTACCGAGTTAAACTTATTTTTAATCACAAGACAATCCTTCGTTAATAGTTATACCATCCGCGATCAAAAGATTATAGTCAAAGAAACTTGATACCTAAACAATGCAAAAACTTCTGAAAGCTAGACGACGACTTTTGTAGCAATGACCGTTTTTGTTTTCTCACTGAAGTGTGACCCTGCCCCTTTCTCTGTACAGAGGATCAATGGTACGGATACAATAAAAATATACGAAATACTTGAAAACGTAATCTTAAAATGGGTCAGACACAACAACACCTATTCTTACCGCCACTAATAGTTGAAGTCTCTAGACCTGCGTTTGAGATAAAAATCAACACAAATGAATCCCTTGCTGCTTACACGTGCAACAATGCAGTTTATTACAAAACATGTAATATGATTTTTGATTTAATAGGTAAATAAAAGTATTGACTGCATGCTTCATTTCAGACCTCAGTCTTACACGATGTTCACACAGGTTTCACAAAGCAGTATGTTCACCTCCATTATAAACAGAGTCTGGTTGTGATCTTTCGTCATTTGAGATTTCCCTTTGAAGTGTGGTTATGTCGTGGTTAAATATGTGTGTGTTTACAACTTGACTGTGATACATGTGCTTTTGTTCCTAACACATTCGAATTTCAACTGTCCGTTATTTAATTGCTTTTTAAAATATGCTTATTATGAAGCAGTGTCTCCTTCCTCCCACCACCACCCCTTCCGCAGTCCTAACCAAATAAGGTACTGAAACAAACAGTGTAAATGAGTTACAAGATAAGACAACTTCAGGAATAAGATCATACAAGAAAAGGGGACATAGAACCACTTCTGAGTCACATATGAGCGGCGTTCATAAAGTCATACACCACGACATTTTCCCAATCTAGTAATGAAGATTCAAACGTTAAAATGTGAGCCCTTCAAATATGACAAGCGCACACTTATGTGTACCAAATGTCACTGCAACTGGGCAAATATTACGGCTGCAAAAAACTATCGAAATGAAGCATGATGTGTATGGCTGGCTCTCACATCCAAGAAATTAGGCTCCCCCAAGAGGAAGACGGGACAGCGGGCTCCATCGAGGTGACGGGATTTCCCTTTAAGATGGCCTTGGTTAGACATGAATGAACGACCATATAAGTAACCGGTTCTATCTGTCTTCTGTGTCCATTCCCACATACCATCATTCGCAGCGCAGACAGCCCAATCGTCCGCACCTCTGGTCTTTTGCTCGATTGCTAACGCTCCATTCGTCGCCCGATTCTCGATAGCTATATACTTGACTCCGATTCGCTAGATTTTCGAGTCAGTCTTGACTAGCTATCTTGGTCGGCGCTGCGTTTGCGTTTTAGTAGCCTGTTTATCTGCCGTATAAATTCGCCAGATTACCACAACACAATAACTCGAATGTCCTTCTTAGGATTTCAGGCCCTTTGTAGTTGCGGTGCACAGTTCTATTATCACCATTCACAGCATTTTTTGTCTGAAATGGGAAAGTCTAAGCAATCACAAGCGGCCGCGCCCAGGCCAAAGAAGATGCCGATCAAGCCTGACCATAGCCACGTGGACGCCATTGTTGCAGCTTCTCCATTAAAATCAAAAAAGGGCGCCCCCCCCCCCCCCCATCGTGGCGCCTCTCTCACCTTACAGAAGGATGCCAACATCAGAAGCCACTCCATCGGGGCGCCAGCACCTAAAGTGGCACCATCACCCGAAGCCTCCCCTATCGTGGCGCAAAACAACCTAACTGACGATGCGATCAACAGCCCTCCGACCACTGCCTGCTGCAACTAGAGTACACGGAAGCCGTAGAGATCACCCAGTGTTCACACTGCAAAAGGGAGTGGCCCACCGTCGCGACCTGCTGCAGCAGCCTATCATGCAGGTACTGCTCAAAGCAGCACGAATTCAAGGACTGCACACTGGCGAAACAAGACACCGACTTCTTAAAGCCGAACATGCACAGGCGCTCACAGTGCTAAATACATTGGATGCTATTACCTCAAAGACATGAAGAGAGCGGTGTCTACTGCCGCCCCTAAAAACGCACAGAGGTACGAGGCCCCCAGACCACAACCAAGAAGCCAGCCCACCCTGCCATCAAAAGCCATACCACTGGAGAAGAGGAACGCAGCCACCAAGGACCAAGATCTTGTTAGAACAATATCGGAACTAAGAACCGAAATACATAAGCAGAAAGCGTTTCCCGCCGCCGAAAGAGCAGAGACGCACGATCTAATCTCCCTGATGCTGGGAGAAATAAAAGCCCTAAAAGATGACAGGATAGCGTGTGCTGCACAAATAAGGGAAAGTAAGAAAGAAGCCACAGAAACCACAGATAGCGTCTGCACTCTAACTTTAAGTTTAGCAGTGGCCCAGGTAGCAGAAGAAAGACGCAGAAAAGAGGAGAGGGAGAAGAGAAGCATAGGGATGGCCGTGCTGAAAGAGGCGAGAGAGGAAGCCTACAGAGAAGTCATCCGACTAGTGCAGGCTAAAGCAGAAGCAGAAGCGGCCGAGATGACAGCCAGAACAGAGTGTGCCCGGTTACAGAACGAAAGAGAGAAAGCCTCAAAGAAACAAAATGTCAGCAGGGCCGACAAGGCCACAGCATTGAAGCGTTAGCGACGAGGCACCAGGCACAACAGACAGATCCCACTATAGGCGAAGATTAAAGCTCTGAAACAGACAGAGAAGTTCAAGTCACACAAGAATTCCCAGAGGAGGGTACCGAAATCAGCGAGGCTGACGTACAAGAACTTCACCTGAGAATTTAATGAGCAAATGTTCCCGCACAAGCTGAGTCTGCGTCAAAATCGCGATAAACGGATTATAGTCGAAGCACCATGACATCTACATAATGCAAAAACGACTGAAAGCTAGACGGCGATCTTTGTAGCAATGACCGTTTTTGTTTGCTCGCTAAAGTGTAACCCTGCCTCTTTCTATGTAAAGATGATCAATGGTACAGACACAATGAAAATACACGAAACACTTACAAACGTAATCTTAAAATGGGTCAGACACAACAACACCTATTCTTACCGCCATCAATAGTTGAAGTCTCCAGACCTGCATTTGAAATAAAAGTTAACGCAAATGAATCCCTTGCTGCTTACACATGCATTATCGCAGTGCATTGCATAACATGTGATATGATGATTGATTTAATAGGTAAATAAAATTATTGACTGAATGCTTTATATCAGACCTCAGTCTTATATGATGTTCACACAGGTTTCACAAAGCAGTATGATTACCTTAATTATATACATAGTGTGGTTGTGATCTTTCGTCATCTGAGAGTGCCCTCTGAAGTGTGGTTATGTCGTAGTTATATATGTGTGTGTTTACAACTTGACTGCGATACATGTGCTTTTGTTCCTAACACATCGAGTTTCAACAGTCCGTTATTTAATTGCTTTTTAAAATATGCTTATTATACAGCAGTGCGTCTTCTTCCTCCTACCTCCTCCTCCCAGCCGCCTTCCAGCCCTAACCAAAACAGATACTTGAAAAAACAGTGTAAATGAGATGCTAAGAGCTGCATGAGTTACAAGGTGAGACAATATCAGAAATGAGATCATAGAATAAAAGAGGACACAGAACCAGTTCTGAGTTACATTTGAGCGGCGTTCATAAAGTCATGCACCATGACATTTTCCCAATCTAGTAATTAAGATTCAAACGTGAAAATGTGAGCCCTTTCAAATATGACATGCGCAGATTTGTGTGTACCAAATGTCACTGCAACCGGTCAAATAATAAGGCTGCAAAGCTATTCAAATAAAGCCGGATATCACGTTGTGTATGGCTTCCCCAGGTGGAAGATGGGACGGCTGGCTCAAGCGCGATGACGGGATTCCCATTTAAAATGGCCTGGGTCAGACATGAATGAACGACCATAAAAGTAGCCCGTTCTATCTGTATTCTGTTTTCACCGATTATCGGGCGGCGTGTACCAAACCTAATGTCCCACATTATGCAAACAACTTCTGGAGGAGGGGCGCATTTGACGGGATCTAGTTTCATCCTAGGAAGAGGAAGTGCAACCCTTGTTTTTAACTACTACAATGATGGCTGTCATTTCTTGCAGTTGTATTTCATTTTTGGCAATCTAGATTAAACCATCAGCATATTGCAAGTTGTTAAGAGCGTGCAAACCAACTGATAGTACTGGCATAATATAGTAGTATGTAAGGACACAATACACAGCTACATGCTTCTTTTTATTTTCTTTATTTAAACTCTAGCTTATGTTTACGTGACCATTTACTCAGCGCTACCCTCTTTTTTAGGACGCAGTTGGCACCTGCCTTTAATAAAGTGGACGTGAGTGACCAGATAGATGGTGAGCGATTGGGTTTCGCTGTGTGATGGTCAACAGTGGTTTAGAATAGGGTTGAGCTAATTTACGAACGAGGAGTATTAACCGGACCCGCTGAAGATAAAAGGTTAAAATATACTTCATAGAATAAACTAGGAAAAAGCGAGAAAACCAAATGCATATGATACTAGTGTTATATAGTTAAATACTAATTCGATAGAACAAGGGTTATTGATTAGCCCTACTGAAGAGGATTGGTTATAATATTGATTATACAGTAAAATATGAAAAGGATAAAAAGAGGCACATGATACTAGAATTATATAGAAGAAAAAAGAAAGCTGTACAGATATGTACGGTTGAGGAGGATAGAAATTGTATGGTTGACGCGGATAGGAAATACATATGTTATACAGTAAAACTCTTTAAAGTGATAACATGGAGGTTATAAGACTAGGCTTAAATTGGCCACGTACAGTAGAATTAAAAAAAAAGCTGTTAGCATACCGTCGAGGCTGCTAAAATGCTATATTTTTTCACAGGTTTCAAAGTGAATTGCTTGGAGAGGTTGGCAATTATCAGTGATGTAGTCAAATGTGAATTTACATAGAATAATATAACACTTGTTCAGGATGGTTAAGGTGACTTGTTAAATGATATTTTCTCAGTGGACAGTAGTGGTCAGGTAGTGGTGCGGTCAAATATGGTTTCTAAAGGTAAGTACGATAATATGTTAGGGACATCAATGTCAGGGGTCAAGTCTTGTAATGTGAAGATTCTAGGTAGTCAGTAGTGATCAAGGTGGGGGTCAGTGTGACTTTTATTTATGAAAATACAAAACCTCACTGCAAAGAGACTTTCTCTCCCTATACATACATATTAGTCACATATTTGTAAGGACTTTTTTATATATTTCACTAGCATCTTTACTGAGAGAAAAGATATGTGTTCGAGAATAGAAATAATGTTGCTTGTATTTTTACCTTGAAAAAATATTGAGAAAAGAAATGCCTCTATTACCACATAGCCGTGGGACACCTTTAGCTAAAGACCCAGTCGCAATCAGAAATATAAGTGAATGAGTGCGAGTGTGTGTGTGTGCATGTGTGTGTGTGTGTTGTTAGCCCTATTTGTTAACCTGTTATGAGTGTTATGTGTATCGGAGCTAGACATATTTTTAATTACAAAACTATCCTTCGCTAATAGTTATACAATCAGCGATAACAGGCTTTAGTCCAAGAACCTTGACACCTACATATTGCAAATATTTCTAAACGCTAGACAACGACCTTTATAGCAATGACCGTTTTTGTTTGCTCATTTAAGTGAGACCCTGCCTCTTTCTCTGTATAGACGATCAATGGTACGGATACAATGAAAATGTACGAAACACTGGAAAACGTAATCTTAAAATGGGTCAGACATAACAACACCTATTCTTATCGCCATCAATAGTTGAAATCTCCAGACCTGCATTTGAGAAAAAAATCAACACAGATGAATCTCTTGTTGCTTACACATGCATCATCGCAGTGCATTTCATAACATTTGATAAGATTATTTTTAAATAAATACACAGTTTCGTGGTGCCAAACAAAAATCCATGTAGGTCCTATGTAAAGCCTGCAATGACAGCATCTTTAATGGTACCATCTCAGAAATATGGCTTCATGGCTATTTGATTCAGCTAGAAAAACTTGGCAAAGACGCCACGTACATAAATGGCTATAGAAATTACGATGCAGAACACATTAGGAAAAACATTGAAAAAGATAATAGTGAAAGACTGCCAAGCAATCTTGAAATACATGAGCTCTTACCCCTCCCACACACACACACACACACACTTGGAGGATACAGACATAACACGGAGACAGGGCTTAATGCTGCCGTCTTTGCACATGACAATTTGAAGGTTTTCAAGCTATATTTGAAACATTTGCAGTCGCCATAGATCTGGAGCACAAAGTTTCCTTCCACCAACTAATGTGTCAGTTAACTGAACTCAACATCCCAACCCCCCCCCCCCCTTACTCGCCCCCACACATCTCATTCGATGGATATCTGCCGCATTTTTCCAGAGAACGGTCGTGCTTCAATGTGGCAGTTGGTCTTCTGAGCCGATAACAATACACCCTGGTTTGCCACAGGGTTCTCCATTGTCTCCTATCCTCTTCAACATTTACACAGTCAAGATCACAGTAGAACTGAGTGGCAGAGGAAGAATTCTATCACATGCGGCTGACATCCACGTTTACTGAAAGGCTAGGAACAGAGATGACATTGTTTTGTATCTACAACAGGAACAAGATCGCATATCATCCTTTTGCAACATCCGAGGGGCAACAATTATTCCATCAAACGCGACAGTCGTGTGGTTCTCATTAAATAATCACTTTGCAAAACACCAATGCCTGGGCGATCATGGAAGTGACCATCTGCCATATTCGGTATTTATCTCGAAATCCAGGAAATCCAAGGCTTCAAGAGCCTATAGGCCTTTTAAGTATGAGCGGACTAACACCCTTCTTGGACTCCTCCGACAGAGGGCAAGTAAGTAAGAGGGCCGGCAGATCTACCTTTGTTCAGCCTACATGGTGGGCATCAGAGGTTAAACAGGCATGGATTTTAAAGAGATCTGCAAAAAAGCGTTTAAAGAAAGTGCGACAGAGAGCCCTAAGCTCACAGTAGGAGTTGCAGTGCGAGGAAAGAGATAAGAGAGTTTTGCAACCGCTGTGCGTCAAAGGCCACAAAAAGCAATGGGAGCATTTTTTTGATGTGATTGGGACATTGGGAAAGTTTTGGAAGCTTCATTGGCAGATGCTCAAAATAGATCGGCCCAGCGTAGTAGGAGCAATTCATAGAGATGACGGTATGCTATTAACTACAGACAAAAAAAGGGGGAGGCTTTCCTGAAGAGGTTCATTTCACAGACAGACCACAATAATAGAGATAACAGAGATTGAGTTAGAGAAGATCTGGCAGCCGATTCAAAGAATAAATATTATGGAGACATCATACAGGTGGAAGATATAAAACGTGTTCTGAAAAGGGCGAAAGAAACTGCACCCGGGCCCGACGGGGTTAGATATTCCCACATGAAAGACATGAGTGATGCAAACCTGTTAGAGATTACTGTTTGCTTCAACCAGTGCATTAGGACAGTTTCAGTCCCAAAAGAGTCAATGCACAGCTACCTGATTCCACTTCTTAGCCTGGCCAGAATCATTCTAAACTCGGCGGCTATAGGATCATAACCCTACAAAACACCTTTAGTAAAGTGCTAGAGAAGATAGTGGCGGGTAAGCTACACACATTTTTGGATCAAAGAAATATCCTTCCACGAGGATTGGGAAGGTACCTACCGGGGAAGGACACATGGTCAAATGCAGCCAATTTTGCCTTTGATACATTCGAAGGTATCCATACAGACAGGAAACGGTGGCAGCGGCACTCGATTTAGAACGCTTACAACAGAGACAGATACAGTATCTTGATGAAAGCGCTTACGGAGAAGGGAGTAGGTCCTTGGTTGGTGAAATGGATAGCAGCTGTTTTGTATATTAGCCGGGTAGCTCTTCACCTGTGTCCATGGACCTCTGAACCATGTATTATAGCTCCAGGTCTACCACGGGGATCTCCAATTTCACCTGTACTATTCAATGCTTTTACGAGCACGATTGTCTGCATGGAAACACATGGAGTTGGTAGAATATTGACATTTGTAGATGATGTTCTTATATAAAGGAACGGAAGAGATGGGAATCAAATAGCTTGAGAGTTACAGGCAACAGTAGATAAGGTGATTGACTGGTGTACAGAGATGAATGTTGTTACCAACTCAGAAAAGGCAACTGTCATGTGGTGTTCTTTGGACAACAGGATTGTTAGAGCTGATGTTTCCAGATTCAAAGTAAATGGCAGGGACATCAAAAGAGACAGCATATTACGGTACCTCAGAATCACATTTGATAGAAGTTTGTCTTTCAGGGATCACATAGATGGTGTTGTGACAAGGGCTCAAAAAGGTCTAAATGCACTAAAGATTATGGCAGCGATGGGCATGGAGCAGAGAATGCTGTTCACACTTTACTAGCACTTAATCATATCAGGGATTAATTATGATTTGGGGTTACTCACTCTCGAAGAGTCAGCTAGAGAAACTGGAGCGCATACAGAATGAAGCCATGCGGCTGATCCTAGGTTGTACAAGAGACACTCCGATTGTGAGAATGCGATACATCCTTGCATTGCGGATTATAGCAGATAGGCTAAAGGTACTGCAGGCTAAGTTATACCTCAAAGTAGTTGCAGACGGGGAACACCCTATGTATGAAGCTTTGGCTGCAGGCAAGGGTGAGAGGCTGAAAAGGGGAAAATCGTGGATGTATCAAGCAGAAGACACAATAAGATTAGTATGCATAGTGGAGAACCGTGGGCGAGGAGAGGAGTGGGTCAGAGTACCAGCGAAAAAGTCTGACCTGTGTAGGGTTATGATCACACTGGAGCGGGTGTACAGAGAGTGGCCAGCGGGTGCTACGGAGGTTGAAGTCCAACAGCTGATTCACGACAATCCACGCCCAGGTGATCTGATTATCTATACAGAGTGTTCGGTGCTGAGAGGAAAGAGAAGTGTCTGTGGTTTTGTAGCGAAAGCCAATAGAAAATCTTCAGTGCAAGACAGCCTAGCATATAACACCACAACATGTAGCATGAGAATGGAGGTGGAGGCAGTAACTGCAGCTCTTCGGTGGCTAGAGAACAAGATGCATACACATGTCGTAATTGTAACAGACTCTGAAAGCATGATGACAAATGTGAAGACATGGATGCTTCGAGCAGAGTGGTAGTTTTACTGGAAAGCTCAGGGGTGAGCATACTTTAGATCTTTTATCCAGGCAATACCGGCGTGGTGGGTAATGAACAGGCAGATTAGTTGGATCTGTACCACTGGGTGGGGAATTGATACATGACAAGGCAGATGTGGTCAAATCTCTTTGTGAACAAGCAACGGAATCAGTAGAGAAAGAAGATTATTATAGCCTCGAGAGAATGAGGCACCGGGGTGTAACCAAAGGGTCTAGCAAGCTCAATACACTCAGAGGAAAGACAATACGGACATTTAACCACATTGTGACCTGACTCAAGGGAAAAAAATGCCATGGCCCATGTCGTATGAGAAGGGCATATCAGGAAGGGAATGAGACAAAAAGAAGAAATGAGTGCATAAAGGATGAGAGCTGAGCGTCTGAAAAGAAACGGATTAAAACACAAATGTTGACAAAAATGGTCCTGAAATACCATGCTATCATTGTGGAAGACTTTTCTTGACACGGGCGGGTCTTGCTAGTCACACTCGCCATCGCCATGGGCTGTGAGTATCATGCCTTCGCATAGCGCAATATAACACTATCACCTGGCAGACGGAAAGGTGCCAATGAATGAATGAATAACCACGAGGATTGGTACTCTGCGCTGGCTGCTGGAGATAAGGACGGAGCATGCATGGGAATGCCATGAGTGCTGTCATGTCAATTCTTGTCTGAACTCAACTCAATGCTTTGTAAAACTCTGTGGTGCTGACGTAGAGAGATTTTATTCCATGAAATACCGAGGTATAACATTTGACAGATGCTTTGCATAAAAAAAAAAAAAAAACCACGTAGACCACATTATAACCAAAACCAAGAAAGGTCTCTCCGCAATAAAAGTTATGGGAGCTGCAAACATTGAGCAGCGGCTACTTGTGATGTTGTATCGTGCATTAGTTCTCTCCACAATTGAATGTGCCTTGGCCAACATGACACTCAGTACCACATAGATAAACAGACTGGAGAAAATTGAAAACGAGCCAATGCGTATTATTCTTGGATGCACTAGAGACACCTCCTGTAAATCCATACGATACCTCTTGGATTTTTCCACAATGGAAAACAGAATTGAGCTACCCAGGGCTGTTGCTTTAATCAAAGTAAAGTGAAGACAGACCATCGACTCCCACTTTATGAGGAATTATTCAAGAAAAAAAAAAAAAAAAAGAGTAGACTCAAACGAAGCAAATCCTGAATTGGTCGGGCTAAGGATGCCATAAAACATGTTTGCCATCTTACTGACATTAATTTTGGAATTGAATGGATAATCATTCCCCCCTCTCCAAACATTAGTTTTACAGTTCTTATCACACTTGATGAAATCTGTAGACAGCAGATTCCTGACATTGTTGACGCTTCAGTCAGAACACTGATTGACGAAAACACACATGAAGGTGATGCTATAGTTTACAAAGATAGGTTAGTAATCAGGGGCAAACGAAGTGCATGGCATTTTACAGTAAGCCAAAGCTGGAAAACCCTAAAGGAGATGAATGCTCCTTTTCTGTAACAACTAGCAAGCTTGATGTATCAGGCAAAATGGATTGCAACACTAAGCACTTCACGAATATCTGCCTTCATCTTTGTGCCAGGTGATGCGGGTGTTCAAGGAAACGAGCGTGCAGACTATCTTGCTGACACTGCCGTTGCTACGGCTGGCCTAGTACTGGACAGAAGTGATGTTATCAATGCCCTGCGCTGCACTTACCGTACAGAAGAGCACGCCAAAGAACATGACTCAGTATCCCTGTCTAGACTGATGGACATGGGGATGCAGCCTGGAGTTGCAAGAAATGAACATTCCACTAAGGGGACAAGACGTTTCATTAACCAACACAGGTCAGGCGTCATTGGTAGTTTTACACTTGTAGAACTTTTGAGGAGGAGATCGGAGCAACTATGGATCTGTCCGGAGTGCTGTGATGAGAACACCTTTCTAAAAACTCACTAATCACTAATCACAGCGATGAAGCTCCTGGTCTTAATGAGCTACCGGCAGAAGTTTTCAAAGAAGGTAGTAATGTCCTTCCTGAGAAATTACATCAACTATTTTAACTTATTTAGCAGCAAGAAATACGTCCACAAGTCTTCAAAGATGCAACAATCAGACACTTGTATAAACGTAAAGGAAACCGCTAGGTTTGTTACAGTCAGTATCTTGACAGTACCCTATCTCAGAACATCGAAGACGAGATCAACGCTAGAATCTCAAAGGCCAGTAGCAGTTTCGGCAGACTTTATACCAGCATCTGGAACAGAAGTGGTATCTCCCTGCTGACCAAGCAAAAGGTCTACAAGAGTGTAATTCTCCCATTACAGCTTGCGAATCGCGCCATGCTAAAAAGCGGAAACAGTTTCATATAACATGCCACAGAAAACCTCTCAAAATCAAATGGCAAGATAACATCTCAAATACTGTAGTTTTTAACAGGGAAAATCTGCCTAGAATCCACACTATACTGAAAAATTATCAGCTGCGTAAGGCTGGTCACATAGCACGCATGTCAGACTATCGCATCCCAAAGAGAGTATTTTATGGGGAGCTCCATCAAAGGCAGAGTTCCGGGGTGGACAAAAAAATCGTTATAAAGACGCTCCAAAAACTACTCTTAATTTGTTTTGGGCATCAACACAGCGACATGGATGGCTTCTGCACGAGACCCTGCCAGATGGCGCACATCCCTCAGGCACGGCGAATCATCCTGCCAGCCAGCGGAAGTTGTACAGGCAGAGAAGCTGAGGCAGACTAGAATGAGCCGTATTGCTAATCCAACACTTACTGCGGCTTCCACATATTGTCTGCACTGCTCAAGAGCTTTCATACTGGACTAATCATGCACATTCGTACTCATAGCTATTGATCATTACTATTTTGGATGAACAGTGGTATTCATCACTCGTGATGGACGAACAACACTTCTATCCATGTCGGTAAGGGGCACCATTCGCAGATATTTACATGACTTTGGTCTGGTTGCTCGGGGTCCTGTAGTCAGATTCGCTCTTACTCCTACTTCTGGCACAGGAAATTTGTAATTTTAACATGTTGAAAAGAGACGATATATCTATATACATATTTATTTATGTGCTTCTGTGTTTGTGTGGGTGTGTTAACAAAAACTTACTTGTTGTGGCAGCCCTGTCGGTCGTGTCTCTTGTAGTTAATATACCTGCAAAAAAAAAAAAAAAATATATTTATGATGTAAATGTAAAATACAAAACACAAAAACGAGACTTTGTTTATATTGCTATACTTTTAAATAATCGTGAAAACAGTTATAATAAACAATATTTAAATACTCATAGGCGTCAAGAATAAACATATATGTTAACGCTGCAGACATATACTTAATTCACAAAATGAATGAATTGAAAAAAAAAATGAGTGGTTGTTAAATAATTACTGTGTGAGGTTTTTTTTTTAAATAAAAGTGGTTGGCACACTTTACAAATTCGTTGCGTTTGAATGTGTTTTTTTATATTTCTTTTCGTAACGTGTAAATTTAGTATTCAGTAAACGCCACTTTAATAGATATTACATTTATATCAGATTTGTTTTATGGTTTCACCCAAGTTTTTTGTTTGTTTTCCCAAATGGCTCTTGTCCGTTGACGAGTAGTTTATTTGTAAAGACTTCTGATGGATCCGATGATAGCCGGAACAAGATGTCTGTTATATAAGACATACTGTTTAAAAAAAAAAATTCAGTCAAGCAAATAATAATATAATATTTATAGAACAGCTCTGTTCTTCGTGTATGTTGATGCCACACCCAGGTTCGTCTTTAGTTCGCAACAGGAGGAGTCAATTGGAAGGCCATAGACAAGGAGAAAGTGGGTCGTGTCGATAGTGTTGATGGTGATAATGTCTTTATGGCTGTATGCTTCGCACGTCACTATGATATTTGTATAATATAATGTCGTAAAACAACTATTCTTTTTCTCTGCTGTGTTTATCGTTATAGCTCAGGAATGTCACAAATAACAGCAATGATATTCTGAATGGCGCTGTGTTCGATCTTTTTTTTTTTTTACATACTTGTAGGTCGCGTTGTGATCTTTTCTCTAGTTACGTTGTTAACTGTTTCTTGTGTATGTAACTGCCTTCTGACTTCTAGTGCTGTCTGGTACTAACGGCTTTATTGTCGACCCGTACAATTCAGCAGTTTTCTACCTAATGTGTCTGCCATAACCATGGGTTCATGTATGTTTGTTGCCTCAGTAGTTCGATGTTTCGCTTCATGAATCTTATCTAGTGTCTATCTTTGAGACTCAATGTGACTGGCTCCTCATCGACGACTAGATCAACGCTAGAATCTATAAGGCCAGTAGCAGTATCAGCAGACTTTATACCAGTGTCTGGAACAAAAGTGGCAACTCCCTGCTGACTAAGCTAAAGGTCTACAAAAGTGTAACTCTCCCAGTACTGCTCTAGCTTGCAAAAAGTGAACTGTGTACCACCGCCATGCTAAATAGCGGAAACAGTTTCATATAACATATCACATAAAGCTGCTCTAAATCAAACAGCAAGATAAGATCCCAAATACTATGGTTCTTAATAGGGCAAACCTGCCTAGCATCCACACGATACTAAATAATTACAGCTGCGTTGGGCTGGTCACCTAGCTTGTATGCTAGACTATCGTATCCGAAAGAGAGTATTTTATTGGGAGCTCCAGTAAGTGGAGATGTTCCGGGGTGGACAGAAAAATCGCTATAAAGAGGCTCTGAAATCGTCTCTCAATTCTTTTGGCATCAACACAGCGACATAGGAGGCTGCTGCACGAGACCTTGCTAAATGGCGCAGATCCCTCAGGCACGGCGCATCATCCTGCCAGCCAGTGACAGTTGTACAGGCAGAGAAACGGAGGCAGACTAGATTGAACCGTATTCGCAGATGTTTACATGACTTTGGACTGGTTGCTCAGCGTCCTGTAGTCAGAATCGCTCTTACTCCTACTTTTGTGACAGCACGTGTTAGTCAGTGTCGCTAGGCAACAATGTGATCAAGTCTACTTCACTTATGAATATCGCTGTATCGTATCATTAGAAGATGACAGAATTCGAATTTGGAGAAGACAATGAGAGTGATTTACTGATGACACCGCCCGAGAGAAGAATCGTTATGGCAGAGGTTCTGTCATGGTCTGAGATTTGAGCTGGGGTGGGGTGGGAGAGAACTTCTCCAGAGGGGTCCTAACCCCTCTCCACAACATTTATGGTAATTTGACCAGCTCAACACACCAGAAAGAAATCTCTAGACCTAATGTCCATTCTGCTCTATGGGCTGAGAAAGCTATTGCCTGGCCTCCAAGCTAATAATACTCAATCTCATCGAGCTCGTGTGGTAAATGACTTAACTCAGCAACATTGGATCTTCTGGATGGCGTTGCTGGCTCATTCACTTAACGTTTCTCTGACTGAGCGCTTTCAAAATGTCATTGGTTGAAGAATGTCAACAACAAAAAAATCACCCACTTCCAATGCATGTTTGCAACTGACTGCATTTTTGCTAGAGGAATGACAAACTATTCAATAGGATTCTCTTCAGACCTTTCCGGGCTCGAGGCGTCTACGCTGTCTTAAATGCCTTGTTGCGGACGGGGGACATATCAAATTTTGGAATGACTGGTTGTGGAAAAATCACTGTGTGACATTTTTAGATAACAGTTAGTGGCAAAATTCACAAATTTGCTGCCTTTGAATGGGTATTTTTTTTTATTTTTTTATTTTTTAATTTACGTTAAATGTAAATTTGGTATTCAGTAAATGCGGCTTTCAATGAAATTACATTTTTATCAAATTAGCCTTATGGGTTAAACCAAGTTTTTTGCAAATGACTCTTGACAATTGACGAGTAGTTTATTACTGTTTAAACACTTCTGAATAATCCGATTATAAGCTAGAAACAGATGTCAGTTATACGAAAAAAAAATAAGATTGCGTGTAAATTAAAGAAAAAAAAAGTGAAGCAAATAATACGCTCTAGTATACTAAAAGAAATTTACAATTTTAACAGGTTGAAAAGAGGCGAAATATATATAGATATATATATATATATATATATATATATATATATATATATATATATATATATATGTATATAAATAAATATATGTGTGCGTGTGTGTGTGTGAGTGTGTGTGAGTTGATAAAAACTTACTTGTTGTGGCAGTCCTGCCAGTCGTGGCTCTTGTAGTTAATAAACCTGCAAAAAAGAATGGATATTCATGATGTAAAGATGTAAATGTAAACTACAAAACAATGAGACTTTGCGTTTATTGCTATACTTTTAAATAATCCTGAAAATATTGATAATAAACAATGTTTAAATACATATATTCGTCCAGAATAAAGATATATGTTTACGCTGTAGAGATATACTTAATTTACAATATAAATAAATTGAAAACAAAAATGAGTGGTTGTTAAATAATTACTATGTGAACTTTTTTTTTTTTTAAATAAAGTGGTTGGCACACTTTACCAATTTTTCCGCTTTTGAATGGGTTTTTATATTTATTTACGTAAAATGTAAATTTGGTATTCAGTAAATGCGGCTTTCAGTGATATTACATTTATATCAAATTAGCCTTATGGATTCAACCAATTTTTTTTTGCAAATGACTCTTGACCTTTGACAAGTAGTTTACTATTGTTTAAACACTTCTGAAGGATCCGATTATGAGCTTGAAACATATGTCAGTTATTTGAGGAATATGAGATTGAGTGTCAATTTATAATTAAAAAAAATTAAAAAAAACAGTTAAGCAAATAATTCGCTCTAGAATACTGAAAGGAAATTTACAATTTTAACAGGTTAAAAAGAGGCGATATATATATATATATATATATATATATATATATATATATATATATATATATATATGTGTGTGTGTGTGTGTGTGTGTGTGTTAACAAAAACGTACTTGTTGTTGCAGTCCTGCCAGTCGTGGCTCTTGTAGTAAATATACCTGCAAAAAAAAAGAATAGATATTCATGATGTAAGCTGCAAAACACAGCAATGAGACTTTGCGTATATTGCTATCTTCATCATGTAGCAGGTCCTTTGCAGAACGTGGCTCTCATCACAGTCTGCATAAAAGAAACTCGGTCTCTCACCCGTTCTCCCACATTATGTACTTTCATACTCAAGGAGTCACTTATATCCTGTGCCAATCTTCGTGTCCGTCGGCCCCTGTCCCTCCTTCCTGGTACCATGCCTTCTGCAAAAAAGATTTTTCCAATCCGTCGTGGCGCTTGATATGACCAAACTATTTCAGCTTCTGAGACAGGATGCTGTTTATTAACCAATCTTCCTTGATGTTCAGATCTTTTAAGATGTCAAAATTTCTCCTCTTCTTTGTCTAAGATATTCTGAGAATCTTTCTATAGCATTTCAGCTCAAAACCCCCTATTCTCTTCCTTAAGGACTGAGAGAAAGTCCACGACTCACATACGTATTTTGCTACAAGGAAGTAGCATGCTCTCAAAATTCTAATTTTATTATCTTGCTGGTGCTTAACCATAGACTTTTAAGGCTGTTCAATCTTTGCATTACTGTGGCCATCCTCCTCTTAATTTATGTCGAACAGTCTCCATTGCCGTTTATTGTAGAGCCTAGATATTTAAAGTTTGTGACATTTTCAATTTCTTCATCATTTATAGTTCTTTTTTTTTGGGGGGGGTGGGGGGGGGGGGGTGACAGACAGTTTAATCTGTAGACATTATTTTCGTTTTCTTGTGTCATTGAGACTGATCTGCTCCTTAACAGATTTTGATCTTCACTGTGCTTTCGGACAGACAATATTAAATATTCTATTCCCTTTACGCTGTTCGAAAGGAGGACTGTGTCATTTACGTAGCGAAGTTCTGGAATAGGGTTGCCACCAATTTTTAGCGGATCATAACTGTCACAAATTCTTTGCGTTTGAACTTGTTTTTATATTTCTTTTCGTAACATGTAAATTTGGTTTTCAGTAAACGCCACTATAATCGATATTACATTTATATCAGATTCGTTTTACGGTTTCATCCAAGATTTTTTTTTTTTTTTTCCCCAAATGGCTCTTGTCCTTTGACGAGTAGTTTATTTGTAAAGACTTCTGATGGATCAAATGATAGCCGGAACAAGATGTCTATTATATGAGAAATATGAGTTTGATTGTCAATGTTTAAAAAAAATTGTCAAGCAAATTATAATTTTATATTTATAGAACAGCTCTGCTCTTTGTGTATGTCGATGTCACACCCAGATTTGTCTTTAGTTCGCAAAAGGGGGAGTCAATTGGAAGGGTATAGACGAGGAGAAAGATAGTCGTGCCGATAGTGGTGATGGTGATAATGTCTTTATAGCTGCATGCTTCTCAGGTAACTTTGATACCTATATAATATAATGTCGTAAAACAACTATTGCTTTTCTATTCTGTCTTTATTGTTATGTCGGCTCTGTGGCTAAGTCGATGCGAACGTTTCGTAAGGCCGGCATGCAGGGTTCGATCCCAGCTGCGGGCTATGCGCCTTGCGTTGGTTTCGACAGTGGTATCAAAAAGCTGATCTCCAGGAAGCAATGGCAAACTACTGGACGTAAATTTGCCAAATAACACCACACAACAGCTGAGAGCTTCAGGTTGCTTCTGCAACGTCCTGTAAAGGATACGCAGCTAATCTAACCTTTATTGGTATACCTCAGCACTGTCACAAATAACATCAATGATATTCTGAATGGCACTGAGTTTGCTCAATTTTTACATAATCTTTAAGTCGCGTTGTGTTCTTTATCTCTAGTTACTTTGTCAACTGGTACTAGTGTCTGTAACTTCCACCTGGCTTCTATTGCTGTCTGGTACTAACGGCTTAATCGTCGACTCTAACATCTCAGTAGTGTTTCTACTGAATGTGTCTCTGTTAACCATGGATCCATGTATGTCTGTTGTTTCAGTAGTTCGATGTTTCGCTTTATGTCTCTTTTCTATTATATATCTTTGAGGCCCCATGTGACAGGCTCCTCTTGTTCTAAGTTTCGAGGACTGAAGATTGGAGATTCTCTACTTTGAGGGTAAATATTACTAGTCTCTCCTTTTCTGAGTTTTGTAGACTGAAAGTCTTGTCTTTTTTTATAATCATTTTTTATCCCCATTTATACTGAGTCGCTGGCATGTGTGGAATGTTTTTTCTGCTCTTCTAGAAAATTACGTTTGCTCAAACTTGTTAACTACCTGTGATCTCACAGTGGGATTTTCTAATTGCGTCTCGATTGCATCAGATAGTCGACACCAAAACATAATAATTGAATTGACAGGTGTCCTTCTAACGCCTTCTAGAAAGCTAGTACGACAACGCTCTCGTTCTTTGAATTAGCATTTCAACGATTGTATATGATTTTTATTCAACTAGGTTATGTATTTGCAAATAACTCTGTGCTAAGACCTGTTGACTTTCGTCACTACAACTAATACACAATATCCCACCTCCTGACAAACAAGTGATGACGCCTCCCTGTTATATATTGAAAGTACATTGCAATTTCAACAGACAGAATAGATGCGATATATATATATATTTAAATAAACCTACGGGTTGTGGCAGTCCGGGCAGTCGTACGTACTGTAGTTAATGTACCTGCAATACACAAGGAACAGAGAAAACAAAGACGCGAGTCAATCATCGTAACAGAGATACAACCTCATTGCATATTTGAGGACCTGTTTGATTTTATTTACCTAGTCAATAACGTGTCTCCCCACAATACACGAAAAAGGATAGATATTTATTATGTAAATGTGAACTATTAAATACAACAATCACAATTTGCGTATATTGCTATACATTTAAATATTCATGAAAACAGTGATATTAAACAATATTTAAATATATATAGGAATAAACATATATGTTTATTTATATCTGTAGAGATATACATAATTTACAATATGAATAAATTGAAAACAAAAATAGGTGGTTGTTTCATAATTACTGTGTGACTATTTTTTTTGTAAATAAAAGTGGTTGGCACACTTTACAAATTCGTTGCGTGTGAGTTTCTGTTTATATTTCTTTTTGTAACATGTAAATTTGAGATTCAGTAACGGCCACTTTAATTGATATTACATTTATATTAGATTCGTTTTATAGCTTCACCCAAGTGTTTTTTATTTTTTCCTAAACGGCTCTTGACCTTACACGAGTAGTTTATTTGTTAAACACTTCTGATGGATCCGATGATATCTGGAGCAAGATGCTTGTCATATGAGAAAAATGTGATTGATTGCTCATTGTTTGAAAAAAAAAAAAGTCTAGCAAATGATACATCATAGAATATTTTAAAAGGACATTGAAATTCTAACTGGTAGAATAGAGGCGATATATATATATATATATATATATATATATATATATATATATATATATATATATATATATATATATATATATTTATATATATAGAAAAACCTACGGGTTGTGGGAGTCCGGGCAGTCGTACGTACTGTAGTTAATCTACCTGCAATACACAAGGAACAGAGAAAACAAAGGCATTAGTCAATGATCGTAATAGAAATATAACCGTAGTGCATATTTGAGGACCTATTTTATTTTATTTACTTTGTCAATAGTGTCTCCCCACAATACACGAAAAAGAATAGATATTCATTATGTAAATGTAAACTATTAAATACAAGAATCACACTTTGCGTATATTGTTATACTTTTAAAAAATCGTGAAAACACTATTTAAATACATATAGGTGTCAGGTATAGACAAATATACTAAAGCTGTAGAGATATATTAAATATACAATAGGAATAAATTGAAAATAAAAATGACTGGTTGTTTAATAAATCCTGTGTGACGTTTTTTTAAATAAAAGTGGTTGGCATACTTTACACATTCGTTGCGTTTAAATGTGTTTTTATATTTCTCTTCGTAACAAGTAAATCTGGTATTCAGTATAGGCCGCTTTAATTGATGTTACATTCATATCAGATTCGTTTTATAGTTTTTACTCAAGTGTTATTTTTCCAAATAGCTCTTGACCTTAGGCGAGTAGTTTATTTTTTAAACACTTCCGATAGATCCGATTATAGCTGGAACACGATGTCAGTTATATGAAAAATTTAAGGTTGATTGTTAATTAAAAAAAATACTTATCAGTCAAGCAAATGATACGTCATAGAATATTGAAAGGACATTGAAATTCTAACTGGTAAAATTGAAGCGATAAATATATTTACAAAAACCTACGGGTTGTGGCGGTCCTGGCAGTCGTGGCTCTTGTAGTTAATATACCTGCAATACACAAGGAACAGAGAAAATCAAGACACTAGTCAATCATCGTAACAGAGATACAACAGTAGTGCGTATTTTAGGGCCTATTTTATTTTATTGACCTAGTCAATAACGGATCACCCCACAATACACGTAAACGAAAAGACAATTTGTATGTAAAATGTAAACTACTAAATACAACAAAAAAACTTTGAGTATATTGCTATGCTTGTGAAGAATCGCGAAAACTGTGACGATAAACAATATTTAAATAGATATAGGCGTCATGAATTAACTTAATGCTGTAGAAATATACCTAATTTACAATATGTAAAATTGAAAATGAAGATGGGTGCAGGATGTGGCAGATGATCTCCAGATGGGTGTATCAGACGCAGGACATCTTGCTCATGATAGGAAGGTTTTCCGGAGGGTTGTTATGGCAGCGAGGTTCCGCGAGGGACATGCTACTGAATGAATGAATGAAAATTGAAAAAAAAAAAAATGACGATGAAAACTAATACCTTTCACAATACATGGCATATGTAACTAATTTTTTTTTTTAAAGTAAGCTTTGACAACAATTGTGATAATTATCTTTTTTGAAATAATAATTTAGCATCATGTGCACCTAATCAATTGTTTGAGATGTCCGTCAATCAGGTGTCGAGGTGTCGTAACCACCGGAGCAGCCTCCTCCCTGCGAACTGCTGAAACTTAGCTCTATATAAAGAGCAGCTTAAACTTGCAGCATCTCATGCGGGTGGTGTTCCCTGGCGCGGACCAACAGCCAAGGCTTAGACGATAAACAAGGCTAAAATTGTCGCGACCCATGGCCTAACTTATCTCAGGGTCTGCACGAAATGTCTGATTATAAAATGTCCGACTGTTTGACATGCAATCTCAGATGTCTGACCGTAAATTGTCTTACTGATCGACAGAAAGGTTCACACGTCCGCTACCATCACCATAGTGTAGGAAACAATTAGGGAAGCCATGCCAGATGCAACGAAAGTTTGAACCTGCGGCTGCTCTCTGCAAAAGGGATGCCTGCTGAGGACATTCATAGGGAAATGATCCCTGTTTATGCTGACAAATGTTTATCCCGTAAAGCGGCACATAGCTGCTAAAAAAAAAATTGCTGAATCACTAGAATTTTTGATGAAGTCCGATCTGGTCGTCCCGTGGAGACTGCAAGAGACATATCTGTGCAGCGGGTGCAGGAGATGATTAGAGGTGACAGGTGAGTATCAGTTGACCCTGTAGCAGCTGCTTGTGGACTCGAGGCGTCTACGCTGTCTTGAATGCCTTGCTGTAAACGGTGGTAGTATCCAATTTTGAAATGTCTGTTGATTTAGTAATTACTGTGGGACGTTTTGTGAATTAAAGTGGCTAGCACACTTTACAAAGTCATTGTGTTTCAATGTGTGTTTTTTAAATTTCTTTAACATGTACATTCGGTATTCAGTAAATGCCGCTTTAATTGATATGACGTCTATATCAGATTCGTTTTATGGTTTCAACTAATTTTTCGATTGCAAATGACTCTTGACCTTTGACGAGTAGTCTTTTTTTAAACCTTTTTATGAATCCGATGATAGCTGAAAGCTGATGTCAGTTATATGAAAAATATGAGCTGCGTACCATTTAAAAGGAATTAGTCAAGCAAATAATACGTTATAGAATATTGAAAGGACATTTAAATTTTAACAGATAGAATAAAGGCGATAAATATACTCATAAAAACCTACGGGTTGTGGCTGTCCTAGCAGTCGTGCGTACTGTAGTTAATACACCTGCAAGATACAATGAATTTAGGAGAGAGAGAGAGAGAAAAAATACCACTAGTCAATAATCGTAAAAGAGATACAACAGTATTGCATATATTTTATTAAATTTTATTGTATGGGCCGGTAAAGGGACATCAAGGGAGGCGATAGAGGTGGCATTGCGCATCCCACTACTCAATCTCAGAAGAAAACAACGGATTTATAATTACTGGATGAAAGCGGCAAATGATGACAGTCACCCAGCATCAGATGCTTCCCAGTCTAATCGTAACCCGTATCCAGGACAACCGATCAGGAATGTACTCAGACAAGGCAGGATGGGATGCCGCCATTTATATTTTTTTTAAGGTGTAAATTTAGCCAAAATATTGGCCGCGAGCACCAAATGTATTCATTCCCCAGATACCCCCCATGGACACTAGAACTACCCCTGACAGATATAAGTCTGATCAAAAGTATTTCTAAACAATACTGATAATTTTGAAGCAAAAACCATAGCAAAAGGATATAATGATAAAATACGAAAAGATAACCTTATGCTATAACTGACGAGTTTAAAAATGAGGCAGGAGAAGTAGGAGCAGGTGTAATTATCCCTCAGTAAGGAATGCATAGAGAATAAAAAATAAAAGAAAACGCGGCAGTTTGCACAGCTGAACTAGGCATTATGAAAGCACTAGATATAGTGCTAAATAAACTAACAACTAAATTTACCATACAAACAGATTCCCTGTCATCACTGAAAACTTTAAATACTCACAATAGAGGCAGTAGGCCAGATATAAAAGAAAAGATCCTAAAATCTGACAACTCAACTGAAGAATAAATGATGCCAAGTTACAGTAGCATGGATACCAGCTTACCGATGTGTAAAATGCACTGAAAAAGCTGATAGAGCAGCCAATAAAGGAACTAAATGCGATGCTGTAGTAGAAGTAGGACTCTGAAAATCCGAAAGGAAACGCATAGTCAAAAGACATATCAAAATGCGAAAACTCCAATGGCATTTGAGCACTAACGGCAGAGATGCATACAATAACATCAGAGAACCCAGCCTAAACACACAGATAATGGACTATCTGAAAATTCTAGTTAACAAACTATTATGGAGAGTTAGACTCGGGTGGCATCCAGATAAATTCACACTTCCCTTATGCCTGAATTGCTTTCAGAATAATACAATAGAAAATTATATTATAAATTGTACTAAACACAAACTGGGGAGAAAAAAAAAACTGTTGAGGGAACAAGTGCTCGATGACGTTGGATGTGTCAGTTGGAAAGCCAAAATATGGCACATATGCTTTAAAAAGGCGTAACGCAATGACGTCACTCGAACCAAGTTAAAGAAGATTAAAGAAGCAGAGTGGATTATGGTTTTATTACACATCCTTCTTTCCTGTGTGTCAGCTTATTTATAGATGCCCCCACTGTTTCCAATGAACACAGCAATAGAGTGGATTATTGTTAATCTACACATCATTATGCTCCGTGTGTCATCTGTTGTATAGTTTTCTTAATTAGTAGTTTTTAAAATAGTTATAGTGTAAGTTATCCTTATACATAGAACATATCGCTTTATCAAGTTATTGCGCGCAGTATTCCGTATGTGCCACACAATCCAGGTTGTATGTGTGTGTGTGTGTGTGTGTGTAAAAGGGGGGGGGGGGGGGAGAGAGTTCTGTGTCACTGAGTGTCTTCTTGTTGTACCTGTTCCTGCTCTAGAAGCCTGAACCTATAAGGAGACAGACGTTATAACAAATTTTGAAGCTCAAGACAATAAATTGTAAAATCTCCTTCAATGAAAAATGGACTCTCTGCACAGACAGTAGAAAAGTTGTCTACAGTGAGAAATGTTCGGAACAATAGTATAGAGAAGTGAGCATCTTGAATACAACACAACGGAACCAGACAGTCTATCAAACTGTAACACAACTCGACCAGGGCACCATCATCACTATCGTTCCCGAAGGCGCCAGGACACAGCAGGACAGGAGAATAAGCTAAACCATTCTCAATAGGTTTGGTTCCTTTTCTTCTTTGTTAGTCACCAGACTTGTTTCCTGAGCTCCAAACATCGTCTTTCACCCTCGACTTTTCTACTTTATCTGGCAGCTGCCCGTGGAGACAATGCTAAGTTCGCTTACATTAACTGACTTAACTGTTGGTTACTGTCTACAAACTTAAGTCTCAGCTGAGTGCGCTTTAGTCTCCAAGACACACACACACACACACACACACACACACACACACATATATATATATATATATATATATATATATATATATATATATATATATATATATATATATATATATGCTGCACTTTATGAGAACTTTTTTATATATTGCATGTAAGAGTATATTATATTCCTCCTTATAACCTATTTTTGAGATTATAACAATCTAATACATTTTCAAGTAGATTTCGCTAATCGGTTAAGATAAAAAATCGTTGGTTTCACAGCAGTCAAAGGCACATGTGACGGCTGTCAGTTTTCAAATTCACATCAGTTATGTGTGGTCTTTAACTTTGTGATTTGTAGACTGCATAATGTTAATTTTAATTGTTTGCTTCTACAGTTGTAGACAATACTTTTTGTATATTATATGTTATGTGCCGACTTTACCGTGTTTCGGTGCATATTATAGGAGTTTAATTATAATTACCATTGAATTTGTCAACCTCATTAAAACAGAAAAACGATGACATCATTGCAGGAATTCCTCTCACTTGATGCAGCACATGGTTTAAGTGGCAGATCGCAACTAAAGAGAAGCTCGAGCGAATGAAAGAGAATTGACCAATTTGTTTGATATCTTCCACTTGTATCATGTCTTCATAATGCATATTCTTCAAGGTGCCAGCTAACTCCTTTCTAACTGCATCCCTGATGTCTACATCATTATGATCTGTCTGAGCTATAAACCTATGAAAAAAAGCCTTCCCTTTCTCCTTATCTGTTGTCACACGCACACCATCGTCTCCGCAAATTGTTCCGAATGTCATAGGCCGATCTTTTCTTTACATCTGCCTTTGCAGTTTCCAGAATTTCCCCAATGTTTTATCGCATCCTATATCATTCACAAAAGTTTCCCACTTTGCTCTTTTGGCCTCTGCAGTACAGTGTTTGAAAACCTCCACCTTTTCTTTCTTTCACATTCTCCGCCATCTCCACTTCCTCTCGTGAGCTTGAGCGTGTCTGTCGTACTTTCTTTAGCTGCTTCACTGTTGCTTTCTTTGCCTTCCATGCCTGTTTTACTTCTGGAGTCTATCATGGGAGCGTTAGAAAATTAGTTCTGGCAGTTCTGTTACATGCTCCCTGTCTGAGGCGTCCACGTAGGTTGTTGGTCCACTTATACCGGAAGGTCTTGCGTGCTCTCCCAACCATAACCTTACTGAGTTTAGAAATTAAGACTGAACATAGTAGGTGATCACTGCCATGGTCATTCAGGACAGTCCATTTAACATCTAAAATCGACCACTGTCAATGTCAAGTCAGTGGCTGTGTCTGCATCTCAAGACCTCATTGCCATTCTATTCGGCCTCCCATCATAGATGCAGACCTTATCGGAGTCAACCACGGCCTCTGCAAGAGCAATTCCCTGTCAGTCTTCTGCACCGCTGTCCCATTCTCTGTTCCTCGCGTTGAAATCCCCACATATGAGTAACATATCACCTGGTAACTCCTCCTATTCCTTGAGCCAGCCCCATTGTTCACTTCTGAAAAAACAGTCTACCGTAGCATATATATTTATGAGGTTCCAACTTAAGACACCAATCTCCACCTGTATGCCTTGAACCTCTCTTCCACTGTGTTCCATTGGCGCAAGTCAAGCACCACATGCTTCACTCCCTCCTTCACAACTAGACCTTGTCCATATCTCTCATGTACCCAGAGCAATATCTGTCTGAATTTGGCTCCTGGAGCATGACATCAAAATCAAAAATCAACCTCTCCAGTACAGGACCTCTCTGCCTAGCACTCCGACAGTTCCAGTATCCTACTCTTACATGATTAAAGCTCAATCTCTTCGCTTTTCGTCTTGTTCTCCTAGCACCTGCCCTCCTATTTCTATGACTTTTTATTCCCCCCCCCCCACTTCCCTTGTCTTCTCCTCACTAGCTCTTCACGAACTGCTAAATAATGTGTCAAGCGCAGAGCGCGTGCCCTGTAGCTCCGGCGACGATTCCTATGTATAGCTTTAAAATCCATATGCGAAAAAATACAGTACTGCAGGAAATGAGCGGTCACCCTAGTATTTCCTGCCTGCTAAGGAGGGGGCAATGGATGTCACGTAAGAGTCCATACGCCTGGTGCCGCCCCGCACGCCCGCCAGACAGCCAACGTTCACGACCAGCTCACCCGTGGCCATCCAGTTCCTCACCACATTAGTCCAGCCTCTATTTCCTCCTGTAGCTGTTTATTCTTGTGATAAAGTTTGCTTTTTTTTTTAATCAGATCTTCAGTGTTTGGCTATTTTGATTGCTGCCATGTTCGTCATTTAGGCGGTTGCTTCAAATTTGTGAGATTTGTGGAAAGAACGTCTCATTCCTTAAAAGTCAAGGTGTCCGAAATGTCTGCCAATGTCCCTCTATTGACAGTCAGAGTTTAAATGCCAAGTTCAACTCCTGTCCGTTAAACCAACCGAAAGCTTGTCACCATGGTAATAAGGTAACCGACTGATTTAAATTGATACCGCAGCGACAATATCAATAATTATCACAACACCTGTTACAAATCACCATATCGTATTGTCCCTGTCCGAGAACTACTGGTTAAATGTAGCAGAGGAAGACTGAAGCCTGGGAGGTCGACCCACCTTTCAAGATTGTATAGGAATGGTAACGGGCAGAAACAATCGTCGGCGAGCAATCTTTCTACTGATGATCGGTGGACCTCTGCTTTACATGCTTTGATGTGGAGTTCTTATTATTATAAACAACAAAAAATTTCGCCTTATTGAAAAATAGATGTTCACGAAGCGGCAGTAGCGAAAGACCTTTATATGTTTCAGAACTCAATGTCCCATGATTGTTACTTATTAAGCGAATGGCGCGCTTTTGCAGTGAGGTGAGTCGCTTGATAACATAACCGGAATGGCTTTATTGTAGAGGAATGGTGTATAATATATATATATATATCTGGTTGAGAGATATATAGACTATCTTTCTTGTGTTTTCATCAAGAAATTTAAAAAATTTTGTAAGTTGCTAAATCTTTTTAGCTGCATGATTCACAAGTGCTTGTACATGAGCAATGAAGGTTAGAATTGCATTATTGACCGACCCAATTGCTTTGTGCTCAGTTACACTTTCCGCTTGATTGCCTCCCAATTTGGAGTTAAAGCGCTCGCTGTGTATTTAAACTGTAGTTTTCAACATACGAAAATGTATACAACTTACCGCTTTGCACTGAGCACCTGTGACCGATTATGTAGTCAGTCTTTGTACATAACGAGTATTTTAATACCATGTTTACTGTACTGTTTGAAGTTGGCACGTAAGTAACACAGGGTGCCCTGTCTGTTGCAACCACAGTTTCGCCGACTTTAATCTGAGCAAAGCAGGGAGTTACTTTGCTCAGACAGCACAGCTGAAAGATATTTGCTGTATGCACATATTTTGGAAACTGACATTCGTTGCCTGCGGTAGGTTGTGAAGGACCATGAACAGTTAAAGTCATATTGTAATTGTTGCCATCTGAAAGTGAAAAATTAGATATCAGGAGTAAGGAAAAAAAGTGACTATGAGCTGAGTTGAGTTGAGCTGAGTTGAGTCAAGAATTGACATCACAGCACTCGGAACATTCTCATGCGTGCTCCGTTCTCATCTACAGCAGAGTTCCAATACTGATAGTACCGGTCACGATCTGACTATATGTTCGTCTTGTCTTTCCTCTGAATGTAGTGAGTCGGCAAGACCCTCTGGTTACACCTAGGTACAGAAGAACCCTAAAACAAAGCCCCTGGTTTAGGTGGAATAACTACAGAAGCTATTCAAGCATATGGTCAAACTGCCATCAAATGGCTAAACAAGAATTTTCAATATAGCATAGGAAGAGTCTTTCCCAATTCAGGCCCATCTCGCTGTTGAATGTTGAGGGTAAGATATTCTTCTCGGTCATGGCTCGCCGGCTCACACAGTATCTGATGGCTAACAAGTACATCGATACGAGTGTTCAGAAGGGTGGTATTCCGGGCGTTCCTGGGTGCCTTGAACACGCGACCATGATTTGGGAGGCTATCCAGAGAGCCAAGCATGAGAGAACCGAATTGCACGTAATATGGTTGGACTTAGCCAACGCCTACGGGGCAGTCCCCCATAGGCTACTGTGGCGAGCCCTTCGCATGTTTCACGTACCGGCACAGATTAACGAAATGATCGAGCAATATTTCTCAAAGTTCGCTTTCCGCTTCTCTACCTCGACGTTTACCACGAGATGGACTGAGCTGCAGATTGGGATAGCTATGGGGTGTACGATCTCACCAATACTGTTTGTCATGGCCATGCAGATCATGTTGGACGGGGCGGCCGGCTACGGACTGGGCCTTCAAATAGGGGAACACTTGATGCCTCCATTACGTGCCTTTATGGATGACACGACTATTATAACGGGCAGCGAGGAGTCTGCCGGCACGATCCTGGAAAGTTTGGACTCGGTGGTCCAATGGAGCGGTATGCAGTTCAAACCGCAGAAGTCGAGGAGTCTGTCAATCCGTAAGGGTCAAGTGGCGGCAACCAGTTTTACGGTGGCAAGGAACAAGATCCCCACGGTTCTGGAGGAACCGGTGAATAGCCTCGGTCGCGTTTACGATTCTAAGTTATCTGATAGAGCGGAGGTCGGGCGAATACACGAGTCACTGGCTACAGGCCTGCTCGCGATCGAGCGTTGCAGGCTGGTCAGGAAGTTCAAGGTATGGTGTCTCCAATTCATGTTGATTCCAAAGCTCCTCTGGCCGCTGTTAGTCTACGAGGTGACGATGACTGCAGTGAAGACGATGGAGAGGAAAATCAACACAGCCTTGAGAAAGTGGATTGGTGCACCACCTTGTCTGACCGACGTGGCTCTGTATTGTAAGCAGGCTAAGCTGGTACTTCCGTTCAAATCGATAACTGAAGAGTTTAAAGTTGGCAAAGTAAGACTCGCCATGCTCTTGCGCGAGTCTTCAGACCCAAATGTCATCGCTGTCCAGCCCGCTCTCAAGACTGGGCAGAAGTGAAGAGTCTTCGATGCGATTGAATCTGCCCAGAACGCACTAAACTTGAGAGAGATAATGGGATACACTCAAACCGACCGTCGAGGCCTAGGGCACGGGTAGATCAATTGGTGGTCAAAAGCCCCAGCCAAAGAACACCGAGACATGGTAATACAAGTGAGTGACAACGAAACCAAGGTTCGGGTCCAGAAAGCAGCCCAGCAGTCGCAGCAGGGCCATTGGGTCAGCCTGGAGAGCGCATTGCCAAGAGTACTCACATGGGGTGAGATCTGGCGAATGATCCAATTGCAACTGAGCTTTATTGTTCGTTCGGCGTACGATGTATTACCGTCCAGTGTTAACATGGTTAAGTGGTCTGCGACTAACGATCCGACCTTCCCGCTGTGTAAAGCGAAGCAGACGCTAGAACACGTCCTGTCCTGCATGTAGGAAAGCCCTAGGTCAAGGCCGATATACCTGGCGACACAACAAGGTGCTAAAAGAGTTAGCAGCCGTTGTTGACCAGGCTAGAATGAGGGCTAACGCTAGAGCCAGTTCTACCATCGTCCCCATACGTTTCCTCAATGCTGGGCAGATTTAAAAACGTAAGGTCAACCGAAAAGCATTCGCTCCATCTGTGCTAAACTCTGCGAGGGACTGGTTACTGGCGGTTGATCTGCCGGGCCATGAAAGGTACCCCGAGTTAATCCGGAAGACCGGCCTGCGTCCTGACATAGTTCTCCACTCTGAGGCGAAACGGCAGCTCATCCTGATTGAGCTGACCGTCCCGTATGAGTCGCGTATGGACGAAAATCACCTGTACAAGCTCGAGAAATACAATGATTTAGCAGCCGGTCTGAGGAGAGACGAGGCGTACACGGTACGTGTCTTTGCCGTCGAAGTGGGAGCGAGAGGCCTCGTCTCCACTCCACTCTACAATGTGGTTAAAGAACTAGGATTGCGCGGTAATGAACGGAAACGAACACTTAAGCGGCTGGGCGAGGCTGCTGAGAGGGCCTCGAGCTGGCTTTGGACGCAACGAAACAACGTAGGGGACGGGCCTCGGTGAGCTGGTCCGGGTATCTAGTGGAAAAGGGTTTCTCACCCTTTGAAAGTCCATCGTGTCCGAATAGTCTGCCAGTGATCCTCTGCCACCTGCCAACAAAGTCCAACATGTGTCCGGTAAACCAATCGTAAGCTTGTCGCTCGGTCGTCCAGGTATGCTGACTGCTCTAATTAGGCTACCGCGGCGGCTTCTTATCTCACAGTACCTTATGCAAATCACCAAGTCGTCTTGTCCTTATCCGAAAGAAAACACCATCCGGTAATCTCGTGCAGCAGGGTACCAGCCCTGAGCTTCATGAACTCAGATGGGCCCACCTCTGAAAACGTCTAGGAAATCGTGGGCCGAAACGTTTGTCGACGAGGATAACTTCTACTGATGACTGGAAGATTCCTGCTGTACTTGCTCCCCTGTGGAGTTCATTCCTAGGAACAAAGGACAGTTTCTTGTGACTGGCAGCAGTCATTGATAATACAAATAAGAGATAGAAAAGGTAATACAAGAGACTGTGCAACGTACAGAGGTGTATCACTCTTGTGACATAGGTAAATTTATGCCAAGTTATTGGAATACGGAGTTAGACCTATAAGCTAGATTTTGTGAGGGCCCCTTGAAAGCGAGTAAACAGCGCGAACAGATCATTACGGTCTGAAGAGAATGGCGCTGCAGGGAATTCCTAGGGAATCAGGTCGACGCTCAACACTCAAGGCAAAGGCGAGACGGAGATACAATCAGACAGTTACTGGTATTATCGGAATTGGAACTCTTCGTTTGCTCCTAAAGATGGGGACACCGCTTAAAGGAGTGTCCTGAGTGCTATGATAAATTTGGTTAAAAGACACATCAATACTTGATACATATACATATATATATATATATATATATATATATATATATATATATATATATATATATATATATGAAGGTTTTCCTTAAAAGTAGCCCCCCCCCCCTCCCCACCTTTTTTTCCACCCCTATGATAAGACTCTGAAGCATTATGTCATCAAATATTAGAATCAGGGTGGCTGAGTGGTCTTCAGGTATGGCACCAACCTCGAGTGCCTTCAGATTGCTGTACATCTTTTTCTGTTTGCATACAACTAGACAGAAAACGCAACAGAGTCCGGTTGCTGTAGAAGCAGAAGTTCAAGCCTTGATTTTCAAGAATGCTCTAGAGGATGATGCTGTCATTTACACATATGGTTCTGTAATCCACCACTTTAGAAGCTCGTTCGCTTTCGAGGTTCATTTTGAAAGGAGAGTTGTGAAGGAATATTCTGGAGATTTTGCAGTAACTACAAGTAGTCTGACTATGGAGGTTATAGCTGTGACTAAAGCAGTAACATAGCTATAGACACAGACTTTCACTAGGGCATGCTTCTTCAGTGGCTCGATTAGTATTCTCAGGAAAGAGAAGGGTGGGGTCCAATGGCAGTGGTTGGTGGCTCTACAGAATTCACAGCTGACAAGGATTAGCTTCATTTTCGTGCCAGGAAATTTTGGGGTTACAAGGAAATGAGCAAGCTGATACGCTTGCAGATAAAGCTATTGTGAAAGCCGGACAAGCCATGGACCAGGCTGATATACTGAATGCTTTAAGAGAGTTAAGACGTTTGCGTGAACCAGCTTAGAACTGTGAGTCTGCAACCATAGTGAGACTGCAAGAACAAAATCTGCAACCATGTTCAGACTGCAAGAACAACATGTTAAACTGGGTGTCGTCAAACAAGAACACTACGCGTGTAGTCAAAGAAGAAGAATAAAGCAACACAGTACTGGTGTCGTTAGCCGCTACACGCTGCGGGATTTACAGAAAAGGAGATTCGAGCACTTAATGGACTGAGTGGTTCGACGTGCAGTGAGGATAATCTGTCGACTCACTAACCCCATAATATATTGTTGCAGGCTCTACGCGTGTGTCACGCACAGACACAGATCACCGACATGATCGTACAATATTTTTCAAAGTTAGCCATACGCTCTCTACACTCACGTTTACTACTAAGCGGACTGAACTCCAGGTAATGGTAGCAACTGAGTGTACGATTTCTGTGTTTGATGAACCAACTGTAAGCTTCTCACTCTGGTCGCGAAGGTAGTCGGCTAATTTGTTACAATAGCGACAATATATAACATCAAATCTCACAATTCCTGTTGCAAATCCTCCATTTCGTCTTGTCGAACGTCCGTTAAGCGAAGCAGGAGAATCCGTCGCCTGGTGTCATGGACCAGGTCGGTCTACCATCCAAGATTGTATGTGAAGTAATGGGCCAAAACATTTTCGACGACGGTCCCACCTACCAATGCACTTAGACTCCTGCAGTGCATGTTCCCCTGTGGAGTTTTTATTTTTATTGGATGTCCTAATAACGGTGTGAGTTGGTATCGTTGTTTTTATTTTCCGATCTGTTCTTTCTTTCCCGGCGAATATACTTCCTAGA